AAATGAGCTTCTCAAACCTGGTATTCTCCGATAGAACCACATTCAGGAGCATCCCATTTGATTGCCAACGAGTACTGTCCCTCATGAGTTACCTCCAAATGACGAGGAGCTGTCAGATCGTCTGTAAAAGGTACGCTTTTATGAGAAATTCAATCTTTCTTATCCTCTATGCCCCAGTCGAGAGAGGAATTCCAGCGCTAATGGAAGACCCTGATTGAATGCGACAATTAATGTGCGCAGCATAATTTGTCCGAATCTCTCAAAGAGCGGAATGAAATCAGCAGAAGAATGGCGGATGATGCCCGAAATTTGTAAAAGGCTATGAATAACTTGTTTAGTACATCTTTTAATCATTTTTCGCTAGTTTGCCACAAAGAGATTTCTGTGTGAAGACGTCTAGAAGGTCCGAAATGGATAAAGATTCGAAGTGCATCTATTTTAAAGGATCGACACCTTAAACTAATGAACTTTTATGTATCCCTCTATCTCTAATCAAAGCAAACTAGAGTCATTAAAAAAATCTTTTTGTTTAGCAGTTTGCATTGAACACAAAATAAAATTCTTAAGGGATTCAAAATCGAAATGCTATCTATGTCCTTGATAACCCTAAAGATTTTTTCTCGACTCGATTCGCTTGAATCAGAATTTAATTTTTTAAATAGACTACTAGCAAATTTCGATGAATCAAGTTAATGCTGAAAAAACAAAAATTTTTCTTAAAAATTGGAACAAAAAGTATATTTTTGTTAAAGAATACAGTTAAAACGTATAACTGATGGTGCAGCCTAGCAGGGTCCATATATGAAGAATGAAATTAGAAATTGTTGCTATCAAAGATTGTAATGCATAATATAATTGATTTAACAATTGTTCAAACTCTTCTGCCCGCTGTATTTTTACATAGTGAGCAAAAAATAACATCTTATCACAATTTCAACATCTTATTCGATTTTTGATGTGAAATCACTGCTATTTTAATTGAAATCGCGCAAGTTTTAAGATTAATCGCGCTATTGGATCTTTATTTAGCTGGCCAAATGATAGTCAATCATCCGCAATAGCCGCAATCGGAAGTCGTTTATCGCCAACCAGCAATTCACTTCTTCTTATGCTTATGGTGTGATTTCATATCGCAATTAACGAAAGCATTAAAGCTGAAGAAAATTCAAAAACAAGAAACTTGCTTAGTGACCCAAGTCCTATAGATATAATA